CTCGCCCCTGGCCGCCCACCACAGGAGCCGCCCGAGCCGCCCAAGCTGCAACCAGAGAAGCGAGCCGGCTGCTGCTAGAACCTCTGAGCTGGCAAGTTCCAAGACCCGGGTCTGGCTCAGCTGGGGGGGGCGGGACCATGAAGCCGCTCCGCCCCCGTCCGAGCTCCGCCCCTGCCTGGCCTTTGGCCGCGGCCAGCAGTTCCGCCCGGTGCCAGCTCAGAGATCTGCGTCCTGCCAGCTCCGGCCTGGAACGCCCTGGTATCACGCAGCAGATACTCAGTGGTCAGCATCTCGCTGCACAGAACACGGGAAAGTGTAGCTCGGAGTAGGGCAAACGAAGACACTGCAGACAGGAGTGCGTGCGAAGGACCCGAATAAGATCCGGGAGGAGGACTAGGGTTGGAGTGCAGAAGCTGTGGTGATGGAGATGCGAGAGTTTGGGGCCTAGGGGAACTGTACTGGGCTGCATGAGGTAAAGAAACCTGAGACTTGGAGTGTTTGTCGATTGAAGCCGAGCTCCTGCCAGAAGCTAGCCTCCATCCTTGAAACAGCCTGAGTGGCCTTAAATGAAGTAGGGGCTTTGTGGACTTCCTGGCACCCTCCCTTACCCTCCCCGAACTCAAAATTTGCTTTCGTGGAGAAACTCTGCCATTAGTAAGAGTTGGCAGCTTCTGCGAGGGTAGGCTATGGAGCATCCAGCCCACAGAAAGGCCTCAGGTGTGCAATTCCCAGGCCACAATTCCAAGGAACCTGTGGTCCCTGTGTGTAGTGTATCCTTTATAATCTTGAAGCTAAGTTTGGGGCTGGATGTTTCTTTACAGTGGAATCTATCTTGTGTGGGACTTTAGCATCCTTCAGTCTTGGCACCCATTCTTTGTATCAATAGTATCTCCCCTCCTACTCCCAGGTTTGACAACTCAAATGGTCTCCAAACATCCCTCCCACAGAAACACAAAATAACCATCTGGGAGTTCAATCTGGAAATGAAGGAGGGTTATTCCATCAGTGTCTTCCTTCTATGGATAGTCATATACAGATCCTAACATTTGTCAGGGAGTGGCACACGAGAGGACTGAAATGGGGAGATGAGGAGACACTCTCTTTGGCCTGGAGCTTGATTCAGAAAAGGCATTGAGAAGGCAGTGAGTCAGGCATTGTTCATCTGAGCTCCAAAGCCCCCAACAATATCAAATGATGGAAGAAATTGGCCTTGATACATTTCAGGAGGAATTTCAAGTGACCGATGGGAATGGGAGTATTGCAGGGTGCCCCTATCCACCAGGAGAGACCTAGAAGTTTAGTTTATTGGATGGTGACCATACTGAGAGCAGGAGAGGGACAAATTTATAAGTCTTCAGGACAGAGGAAGAGCTAACACCAACTGTGGATTCAAGGCCACTAAAGAGAGCTGAGAAAAGGTGAAGATCCTGTGGAGCTGAAAAAGACTAAGTGCTGAACAGTCCTACAACTGAGCAGGTCTTTCTATGCAACTAAAACCCACAACTGGAACCCTACATAGCATAGAAAGTGATGTCACCCTGAAATCCAATGCCTAGTTTGAAGCTCCAGGTACACACTTGTGCATTCAGAGTTTAGAGGCCTACTCCACTAACTCCAAGGCCCTTTACACTATGGGCCTTGCCCCTGTCACTACAGAGTTACAGTGTAAAGAATTACATGAGCCAGGTGATAACACCAAGCTGGTGAGGAAAGGAACCTGCCAAGTGCACACTGTAAACTCCAGCCACTCTCTGTATAGCAATTCCTCTTACCAGGGGCTCTGCAGAGCTGAATACACTATTTGCATGTAACCAGTCATGTCTCAACCATCTTGGAAAGGCTATATGGCTTGTCACAGTTCAGACCATGCATCATGGAAGCAGGTAAGAGTGGTGTCTAGTGCATTGAGAGCTAAGGACCTGCAGTCACTAACCAGTGTCTCAGGTTGACCAAAGCTGGTTCTATCCCAAGGGATGGTACAAGCTCATGTGTGTAGTGATAGATCTGCCGCCACACCTGTAGCACTGACCACGCCTTTTGGGTGTGGTCACAGGTGAAGACAAGATGGGGAGGAAGGGTTGGGGATCGGAAGCCCCTTAGCCCCTTCTGTTTGCAGAGAGCATCAGGGAGCAAGGTCTGTCTTCTCGGAGCAGGATCGCAGTTACTGATTGCTTTCCATGTAAGTTATTTACTAATAGACTCCACTTAAATTTAGTGGTCTGGCGAATCCTTATAGCCACTCCTTTACATGTGCATTTGTCAAAACCAGTGGAACGCAAGAGTAAACTGGAATGTAGACTTTCGCCTTTAATTTATGACATACCAATACTAGCTCATTGTTTATTGCAGATATATTAAGACAAAATGTTAATGACGGTGGAAGGAAGGAGCAGATATTGGAGATTTCTCTATTTTCTGCTCAGTTTTATGTAAATCTTTAAAAATCAAATTTAAAAAAAGGTAAGGGTGAGTATTTGCCTACTAGGGTTCTTGCAAGAATCCTATAGGACATCAGGGAGCCTGGCACTGTCTTCCAGGACCCTGATCCTCCTGTAGGATCATGGAAGCAATAATTTCTTCATTCTGTTCTCCTTTACTAGTTTTCAGAGCTGCCCCTGGAATAACTACACTATGCTGGCTTGCAGAATTTTGTGCTGTAAAAAGCCTCAGAGACTCCTGGCACCTGTTCTGACCACTGTCCTGCAGCAAACCCATCTTCAGAGAAGATAGCCCCCAAAAGACAGAGTTCCTAGAGGCAGGAGAATTATGTAGTCTAAGGCTGTTAAATTGCCTACCAACCACTGCCTCCTTCCATGCCTAGTTCCTGGTGTGTTGATCATGGACCTGTAGGGGCCTGGGACAGTGTCTCTGAGACTTTCCAGGTCCCTTTGGGAAGTTCTGTAAGGAAAGAGCCTGACATATGTCATTCCATGGTAAGTGAGAAGGGACTACTTCTCAGGTAACATTTTATAGGCTAAACCCACAAAGTACTCCAGCATCTCCCCCTGCCCTGCAGTGGGGACCCTCAGTGGTCCTTACAGCATTAGTACAGAATTTGGTGCAAATACCTATGATAAATCTCAAGTGCTCCTGGATAGAACATCTATAGGTGGTCAGCTGTGAGACTGAGAGGGCATGTGACCTCGCAAATCTGAGGACCAGGGAACAAGTACAGGATCAGCTATGTATGTGTGGCCCCAGAGACTTTCTGCCATAAAATGTGGGCTAGCACATTTCATAGGACCCAGCAACAGAGAGGAGATGCTGGGGTCTAGCTCAGTGAGACTGGATACCTCTCAACCTTTTTAAACTTTAGCATGCACATAGACCCTTGTGACTGATAGACTATGTGGTTTAGATACCAATGACACATTATGGTTTCCACAGTTTATGGTGTTGGGTCCCAATTTTGGACCTCAGTTAATTCCAAAGTAGGATAGCTCTGATTCCCAGAGTGAGACAGTGTTTCCGATGTCAGTGTATAGCATCTCATCTTTGCCTGGGAGCTGGTAATCAGAGGCTCTTGGGGACAAGATTCAGGCATCTCTCCTTTAATGGAAGGCACATTAGTGGGAAGTCTCTGTTTCCTCATAGCAGGGACTTTGTGCCACAGACACAACTTAACAGACTGGAAACAGTGATGGGTTTTGCCTAATCTTGAGGTTTCCATTGTATATCGATGACTATTCTGTTGTCCAAAAATGGCTATCTCTAAAGAATTGCCTAGAAAAATTCTGTTTTCTTTCAACATTTGAAAATTTTGAGGCCAGTCAGCCATGGCACTGGTTTGCCTTTTGGTGTTCATATGAGAACACCTATCCCACTAGACTGCTCAGCCCCAGCCCCCAAGTGATCTGTCACCCTAGTATCCCCCTCTGCTGACCTCTGGCAAGGACATAATTATCATAATTGTGGTCAAATGATGCACAGAGACCCAACGCTTGTAATTTAACATTTAGCAACTGCAGTGAGTAACCTGTAATTACGACATGAAACAGCCTAGAGGCCTCAACTCGGCAACCTTCACCTAGCTCCTCCTAACCTAATTTTCTAGCAGGTTTGCTGTCTGTGAGTCAGAGAAAAGTGGGAGGAAGAGAGTCACAGCTGTCTTGGCTGAAGCCAAGGGCCTCCCTCAAGTCCATAGAGCAAGGGGCTCAGATTCAAATCCAGGCAGACTGGCCATTTATAATCTAAGGTATGTAAATATGGGGCACAAAAGTACAGAAGGTTGTCCATGGTAACTGGAAGAGCACAGCTAAGGGGCAGCAAGCTGTAGTGACCCCACCAGTGGGCAATTGACTCTTGTGGCAACTCTCAAAAGAGAAGGGATGGCCTTAGGAGAGGTTCAGCTACATCAAGATTCATACATGGAAATGACAGCTTGACACTGCAAGTGGACCCTAGTTGTTAGTCAAATAACCATAAAGGCCTGAACAAAGAAACCAATGATATAATACCAAGCCATCGCTGTGCAGTGGTGGCATTTTAATCCTAGCACTCAGGAGGCAGAGGCAGAGGCATGTGTATCTCCGAGTTCAAAGCCAGCCTGGTCTACAGAGTGAGCTCCAGGACAGACAGGGGTACACAGGGCTACACAGGCTACAAAAAACCAGGGTTAAAAAAAAAGAGTACCAAGCCAGCTAGCTATGTGTCTAGCCTAGATAGGCTGCATATCATGATTTCTGATCTGAAACAGCTGATGTATATCAGCAGTTGCCTGTGAAGCTGGGAGTCAGATAATTCTGCCTAGGTCAGGAGAATGTGTAGAAAAGCTGAGCACCAGGGTAAGAACTGAAGGGCAAGGGATACTTGTGTTGGCACCTGGTGCTATAGTAGCTGAGAGCATTGAGCAAAAGTATGAAAAGCAAACTCAGAGAATAGGGTGGAATGTGGTGGGGCCACCATATGACAGTGACCATAACCTAGGGTGTGGCTGAGTGGCCCATACACATTGGTCTGTAGTCACTTAGGACATCAGCTAGAAGGACTAACCTTCTGATTCTCATGACAAAAATGGCCAAAGAAAATCTACTTCCTGATGCCTAAGGAAAGAGCAGTGTCTCCACACAGCCACCACCTAAATTTCTGTGTGTGCCTGAAACATTAAAAAATTGTAGTAGCCAGTCTGTCCACTTTCCCAAGGAGAAGGCTGTGTATATACCTTGTGTTCACATAAACATCCCCCAAATTATATAGTTGTCACAGAAGTCACAGACCTTTCAGCTCTGTCTACAAGTAGATGGACCATAGACACAAAAGACTGTGACATAACCAGGAAGCTGTGCACAGACACCAGCCCTAAGTGTAATGGGGTTCACACTAGTGTACCTTTGATGCCTTTGGACCCTGAGCTGCTGAGAAGCATCCATCTGCTCCTCACCAAGCCTAGTCCCCCAAACAGCTAGGGAGGCCACAGGGCAGTAGCATCCCACCTAGAGTACACCACTGGCATGAGAGCCTGGTGCCTGGTTGAGAGCTATCTTGGGTGGGTGTTACCCGGAACCTGGCAGGTACTCAATCTGCAACTGAATCCCAGAATGCACTTATGCCTGATCTACCTGTGATCACCCTATAGAATAGCAAGATAATTCCAGATAACAACAGGAAGTTAGCACCCAGCAGATGCCCTTACTTTCCTGAAATTTCATAGCTGAGAAAAAGACTCACTCCACCATGTTAGTGGTATCTACTTTCTTAGATAGGAAAGCACCTCCAGACCCTAACAGGTTCTGTAACCAGTTAAGGGATGGGAGATTGTGTACCTGTGCCTGATGCTATCCTGCATAAGGCCTAATCAGCCTCTGCTAAACTAGAACTCCAGTCCCACCAATGCTGCAGTGCCCATAGACTGGGAGATAGACCCTATTGATCTGTCATGTTGGGAAGGCTGAACTATGCATATGTGGGCACAGCCCTGACTGAATCAAAGGTGGGAAGCTGTCTGTATGTAGGAACAGGGGGAAAGAGAACAGTGTGATCACCACTCAGTAATTTCCCAGCTGGCTTGGATTTGGTGTCTCTCCTCTAGTTCATAGCTGAGGTCTTCAGTGAGAGACCCAGGGCTGGCCCTCCCCAAAAGACAACAACTTGCATCTCAGTGACTCAGTCCAGCTGGCGGGGATGGCTGTAAACTATGATCAATAAGAGTTTGTCAGTGGGTCCTATATCTACCCATATTATCAACCCTTCTAGTCTTGTCTTTGGAGAAATGATAGACTCTGAGTGTGTAGCTAGAAGCTGTCCCAACCCAGAGGGTCTGAAGCCAGACTTTAAGCCCTGGAGCAATGAGAGGCATGAAAGTGCTATTCCAGGGCAGGTCCCCAGGCTGGCCACATCTGAGACAAAGGCAAGAACCTGGAGTCCACCTCTCCTGATGGTTCCACTGGACAGATGGTTCCACCCTGAGTCAGGAGGCAAAGGTATAGCCAAGCTCAGGGGATATTAGTTGGATCAGGTCTTCTATCTCTAACATAGCAATATGTTACCTGTGTGTGCTGCCTTGTCCCCAGGCAGGGAGCATCCAATGCCCCAAATATATAGCTTGTCAGATTCAGTATCCTTCACCCCAGCCCACTATACAGTGTCCAACGGGGCTTGTAAATAGCTGGACAGAGACCTCAGAGGTGAGGGCTGGGTAGGTAGATGTTATGTAAAGAAGGGGTGATAGGACACAGGGTGACCTAATACCATCACATTGGCAGGGGTAATACTGAGCCTTACATACCTTCTGTGCCATCTGTATCTTGCCAGGTGGAGAAAACTAAGGAATCCCAGGGACTAGACAATGGTGGCACACACCTTTAATCCCAACACTCTGGAGGCAGAGGCAAGCGGATCGCTATGAGTTTAAGGACAGCCAGAGCTGTTACACAGAGAAACCCTGTCTCAAAAAAAAAAAAAAAAGAGGAACCCCAGTGGTTTTCCGACTGCAAGAGTGGTTGATGGGGTCCTTCCAAGATTGCAAAATTGTGAGTAAGCATCCTATTCCTCAGCATCAGCCCCACTGGGATGGGATTTGGGAAATCTTTGACCCACACAGCAGGTTCAGACAGCCCTTGCTACAACATGGGTTTTAGGCTCCAAACACCATGTCCAGGCTCTAGCTCTAGCTTTTACCTTACCCTCCCCATCTTTGCGGAAGGGACACTGTGCTTTGTTTAAATTTTTAGAAGTGAGGAAACACGGAGGAACTCTCTTTTAGGCCATAATGGTGGAATATGGCTGTCAGTTCAGCCTCGAGAAAGACAGCTGAGCTCAAGATGCTATGGACCCTGGACTCCCTCCCCCCATTCTCCTATTTTACAGTCCCCTCACCCTTTACCAGATTGGCTTATCCATAGGTGTTCCTCTTTTTCTACCCCGTGGGAGGACCTCCTTACCCTGGCTGTGCTCACAACTGGTCTTTGAATCACGTGGAACAGCCAGTGTTGGGTATACTCCCTGTAGGGCTGATAGTTGCAGGCAACCCACATACACACACACACAACCTGACCCTGGGAGGGTAGCACAAGCTGTGTAGAGGGAAAAACGATGAAACCACATTAGTAGGAAGAATAAAACCACACATATTTATATACAGTGTGTAAGTGTTACAACTCTAAGAGGAAAGGTATCCTGGCAGCCTAGAAGCAAGGAATGGCCCTTAGAGTATTCTGGGGTGGGGGGAGCAGGGTCTGGCAGTTGGAGGTTCTCAGGGGTGGGCTCTCCTTTTATCTACTGAGAAACAATCAGGGGTTGGGGAAGGGGGGCATTATCATCAACATTATATCAACAGGACTACTTCCTGTTGAATGGGGATGTTGAAGTCCTTGCAGGCCTCTGGGCTAGGGGCTGGTAATCCTCTAATAGCAACTGATTAAGTTTGGCTAGAAATCTTTTGGATCCATTGTTAAGGAAATTCAGACGAGAAGCTTATAAGGCAGGGTACAACTAGTAGGATTAAAAACAGGAGGAAAGGGGGTTTAAGAAAGGTAGTATCAAGCCAATGATGGTAGCATATGCTTTTCATTCCAGCACTCAGGAGGCAGAGGCAGGTTGATCTGAATTCAAAGCCAGCCTGGTCTACAAAGCAAGTTCCAGGACAGCCAGGGCTACACAAAGAAACATTGGCTCAAAGAAAAAAAAGTACCAAGTTCCAGAGACATCAAGCTGTTCCTCATGTTTTTTGGAGATCTGACAGGAGTTGTTGGATCTTGTCTTTTACTATACCCAACTGGTTGACACTGAAGCAAGATTCCTCCCTGAGGAAGAGGCAAAGGCTACCCTTCTCTGCTATTAGTAGATCTAATCCTTGCCAGTTCTGTAGTACCACAGTGGCCGGCAAGTCTATTTGACCCTGGAGGGGATCTTGGATGAGCTGAGAGGAAAACTGATAGCAGAAGTTGTCACCACTGTTCTAGTGGTGACGCACAGTTTTGTCATCTCTAATGGTTTCTAAGTGGTTTGGATAGAATAAGACTTTTTTTTCTTAAAGCTATATAATAACCTTCTTGTTCTGAATGGAGCAGATCAAGTGCCCTATCGTATTGTAGAACTACTTTAGCTAATGAATCTACCTATTGATAGTTTTGGGTCTATTTGGCTCCAACAGGAACCTTTCCTAGTACACCATTAGGCATTATAGGTAGTCATTTGTCTGCTACGCCAGGGAGTTTCCTAACATTCCAGCCTTTTGTAGGCCTTTAAAGGCCTAGAAAGTTTGGAATGCTAGTCAAAGGTCGGGAAGGGATTTAAGCCAATGGGCAAGGCCACAAATGGTGGTGGTCAGTTTGTCCCAGGAGGGACACACAGCTGATATTCTCCAAAGTAGCCAGGCAGTGTTACTTAGTAGCTGATATGTGGATGTTAAGGTCTCATACAAGAGATGGAATGGCCATGAGGACAGAGAGGTGGGCTCAATGTAGTCCACGTTCCCCCCCACGTGGCTGCATGTGACAGGAAAATATGGAAGGCATATTTGTAGTCTGTATAAAGGTTTAGGGATTGTCCCTTTGCTAATTGAAAGGCATGGGTAAGAACTATTAGTTCAGCTCATTGGCTTATTAATTCTGGCTGGAAGGGTCTGTACCTTGATCTCCTTGGTATCTGAAACATCCTGCCTTTCAGATCTCCTCATGTAGGAAGGAACTGCCATCTGTGAACCAAGTATAGGTGGCCTAAAGTAGGGCTACCTGTGTACGTGTGTGGGATGAGGTAGTATTTCTTGAAGGGTTTTGAAGCAAGAGTGAGATGGGGAATATAGCAGGATTGATCGGGAAGGAGATTTGAAATGTTGAGAGGCGGGCTCTCAGGAAGGGGGTAGTGTTTGGAGACCATTGTATGTTAGAAGGACCCCAAGGGCATATCCCTCATTTTCTGTAACATAGAGAGAGAAGGGATGATTTAAGTCTGAAAGGTATAGGGTTGGGACCTGGAGGAGGGTCTGTTGGTACTTATAAAAAGGTTTGGTTATTGGTGCAAGGAGGGTTTGTGTGAGGTGCCAAGGACTGTCTCATATAGAGGGTAAGCAAGAAGGGAGAAAAGGTACTCAAGAGTATAGGAAATCATTCATCCCTGGGAAGGGCAGAATTTCATCCTTGGTGGTTGGGACTGTGAGTGTGACGTGAATGAATTATGTGTTTTCTGTCTCCGGTAATGGCTTTGTGAGTTGGAATAATAGCTAGCCTCAGATAAGTAACCTGAGGGGTAGACAGCTGGGCCTTAGAGGATAAGACTGTATCCCTGGCCATAAACAAAGTTTAGTAGAGTAGAGGTATCTGGCTAGTTAATTCGTAAGGCTGGACTACAGAGGAAAAGATCATCTACATACTGTATAAATTTGGATTTAGGAAGATACAAAGAGAGGAAGTCAGAGGCCAAAGCCTGGCTGGGTAGATGTGGGCTGCCCTGGAACACCTGGAGTAGGGTAATCCAAGTAAGGTGGATATAAATTTGGGTGTCTGGGTCAGTCCAAGCAAAGACAAAGATAGTTTGTTACTCAGGATAAAGGGGAAAGGAAAATAAGACATCCTTGAGGCAAAAGACAGAAAAAATGAGAGGTCCCTGAGAGGATGGTGGAGAAATTAGGTACTATGGGGTGAAGGGAACCACTGCTGAGTTGATGTCAGAAATCCTGAACCAAGTAGTAGGTTCCAAAACAAAACAAAACTGCATTTTGTGGCTGTTAAATAGACATGGAGTACAAAAGGCCTTTTTTTAAGAGGTCTGAAATAAGGGGCTTAAGTCCCCTGAGACTTTGGGGGGAGAGTGGTATTGAGTCTGGGTAATGTAATTGGTAGGGTTTTGCCATTGGATGGCAAAAAGGGAATGATGTTTGGTTATAGAGAGGTTTTGGGTGTCCCATACTTGGGGATCCACCTGGGAGGCTGGCAAAGGGAGTGGTGTGTTGGATTGTGTAGTTGGGAGGAGAAGGAAGAGGGAAACAGCAGGACAGCCTGGTGTCAAGCAGATGACTGGAGCAAAGGAAATAAAAGCCCCCACTTTAGCTAGGAGGTCCCTTCCCAGCAAGGGGTTGGGACAGGTTGGTACCACTAGGAAGGAGTGGGTAAAGGGAATACCTCTAGAGATACACCTAAGTGGTGGGTTTTGGTAAAGCTGCTGCCCTGGGAGAAGAAGTAGGTCATAAGGAGTTGTTTCTTATCTACAGTCTCAGGATCCAGATTGGTATTATTGTAGGAAGGCCTTGTAAGGCGGAATTAAGAAGAGTTTTCATTTTTGTCCTGGATGACTCTTAGATTTTTTTACCTAATTTAGTGCTTTTAGGGCAGTTTATCGAGAATGGCCAGGAGAAAAGTTATAAATTGGTCTCTAGCTAAAATGCCACCCCCACTCCCACCCCGGGTTTGTAGTTCCACTCGGGATCCTGATTGGGGACCAACTCAGCCCCAACTGGGTGGTCAGTGTTAGTTTGGAGGATTTCATCTGCATGTATCCTAGTCTGGTTCCAGACTTGCCTGTGCTCCTTGGGGAGAAGGTTGTTGATGAGAATCATGTAAACATCAGAGAAGGTGAGCTTGTAAGATTGGGTAATATACTGGGACTCTTTAATGAAGGTAGAGGGATTGATGGGATAAAAACACTAGTATTTTTCTGTCTGAGAGAGTTTTCTTAGTGAGAAGGGAACATGTACCCTGACTAAGCCATCCACCTGGGCGACTTCTCACAGGGGAGAACTGTAGCCAGGTTAGGCTAGGTAGGGAGAGGTAAAGAGGGTCCCATGGTGGAGCAGGAGTGAATAGCAGGAGGACTAAGGGCTGCTAGTAGGTTGAAAGTGGGTACCTGAGAGGGTTGATTTGGACAGCCTATAACTGAGAAAGGAAGAAAGGGAGACCAAAGAAGCCAGAGAGGGAGAGTAGAAACTGTGGGTTAAGGCACAGATGTCCTGAACCCTTGGTCCATCTAGCCACTCACTGCCTTAGTTAGCATGCTGTGATAAAAAAACATGCCCAAAAGGTACTTGGGAGACAAAGGATTTATTTCACTTACATTTCCACATTACAGTTTATCATTAAAGGAAGTCAGGGCAGGAACCCAAGAAAGGAACCTGGAGATGGGAACTGAAGCAGAAGCCATGGAGAAGTGCTACTTTCCATGGACACCATTCCAATCTGCTATCTGTGCTGACTAGTTTTATTTCACCTTGACACAAAATAGGGCATATCTAGGAAGAGGGCATCTTAATTGAGAAAATGCCTCCGTAAGACTGACTGACAGCCCACTGTGGGTGGTGCCAACCCTGGGAAGGTGGTCCTGGGTGCTATAAAGAAGCATACTGAGCAAGCCAGTAACTGGCACTCCTCCCTGGCCTTTACGTCAGTGCCTGCCATCAGATAGCTGCCCTGTTTGCGTTCCTGCCGTGATTTCTCTCAGTGATGGACTTTGCTATGGAACTGTAAGCTTAAATAAACCCGCTCGTCCCTAAGTTGCCTTTGATCATGGTGTTTTAGCTCAGCAATAGAAACTCTAAGACAACATCAAATTCAGTCCTCCTCAGTTGACAGGTGTCCGTGACCCCTAATCTCATTTGAGAGCTGCTTTAGGCCACCCCACCTCTGCCATCCCCCCCAATCCCACTGTCTGCTCTTCCCTTTTACAGGAAGCCCTTCTATTAAGGACTTTCCAACACTGTCTCCAAACTGCTGGCTCTGTGGGGGCAGGGACAGGGTCTTTTTTGTGCACTGCCAAGTCCCCTTTGGCTGGCGGAGACCAACAGTCACGTGAGCTGGTTGCTGATGCTAGTCCAGAATTCTGGGGCCAGGAAGTGTCACAAGCAGCAGGGAGGGAAGGGACTGGCTCCTCAAGACCCTGAAACATTTGGGGACTAACTCCCTGAGGACATCAAAGCTGTAGATGCCTCACTGTATTAGCCACACCCTTAGGAGTTAGATTTCACCTCAGCAGCCCATGAACCAGAGTCATCCAGTACCAGGAACACCAAGTGTAGTTCCCAGGACCCTACGTATCCCACACCCAGCTGCCACTTCCTACGTGTGGAACTTTAGGACATCCTCACATCCACCCCTGTGTTAATCAGTGTTCCTTTGTTGTTGTTTTATCTGTATTTTGTATAGTAAAAAAGTGCATTACTTCTGAAATAGAAGCCATGCTTCG